CCGGAGCCTGTGCTCCGCAACGGGAGAGGCCACAGTGGTGAGAGGCCCGCGTACCGCAAAAAAACCCACTGTTTATTATATTTCATTCTTCTCTGGATAGAGTGAGCTCAGCTGGGCAGTTCCACATAGGGTTTCTCATTCTGTTGCAGTCAGATATTGGCAGAAGCTGTAGTCTTCTGACAGTGTGGCTTGGCTAGGTGTGGCATCTAACATGCATCACTCACACAGCTGGGACTGCTTAATGGAGTGTCTCCTTGTGGCCTCTCCACGTAGCTTGGGCTTTTCACCACAAGGCGGCTGGATTCTGAGAGGGAACCTCCCAAGAGCATGTATTCTAAGAGACAGGAAGCAGAAGCTGCCAGACTAGTTAAGGGCTATGCCTAGAACTAGCTCAGCTCACTACTGTAATGTTTGATTGGTCAGAGCAGTCTCAGGGCCTGCCCAGGTTTAAGGCTGTAAAGAAGTAGGTTCCAGGGAAGTCCCTGGTGGTCCAGTGGTTAGGACTCTTAAGCTTTCACTTTGGTGGCCTGGGTTCAGTCCCTGGTTGGGGAATTAAGATCCCCCTAGCTACAAGGCAGGGAAAAAAAAAAAAAAAAAAAAAGGAAAGAAAGAAAGAAATAGGTTCCAGTTCATACCAGGGGAGTGTCAGATTCACATTTTTGCAGAAGAGCACTTGGGATGGGAGATATTGTTGTCATGTTTGGAAAATACGATCTGTTAGAAACTCTTGACTAAAAAAAATAAATAACCAGGCTTCCCTGGTGGCGCAGTGGTTGAGAGTCCGCCTGCCGATGCAGGGGACGCGGGTTCGTGCCCCGGTCCAGGAAGATCCCACATGCCGCGGAGCAGCTAGGCCCGTGAGCCATGGCCGCTGAGCCTGCGCGTCCGGAGCCTGTGCTCCACAACGGGAGAGGCCACAACAGTGAGAGGCCCACGTACCGCAAAATAAATAAATAAATAAATAAATAACCATATAATGCCTTAAAAGAGTATATTAGCATATTCTTGCATTGCTATTGTATGTGTGTGTGCATGTTATTACATAGATATTGTATGTATGTGAGTATATGTTATGTGTGTGCATGTATATATGCATACACACATGTATACACATACATATATATGTGATATTTCAGTATCAATATACTTCATTATATGTAGCTTTAAAAAAGACACAAAACTGCACTTTTTATTAGTGTTCACAAATCTCAAAACCATCTAACAGTTGAACTATCTTTCCCCTGATTTGTGTTACCACTCTCCATGAGACTTTTTAATGTCTTTTCCTCTGTTTTCAAACCTCTAACACCCTCTTCCACTCTACTCACTCTCAGCTGATGACTTTGCTTTTTATTTCCTTGACAATAAAGCAGCCAGAGGAAAAATTTAGTTCTATCACCAAGTCTCCCAACTATCTGTGTCATTACTCAGTTCTTTGCCCTTCCTCTCTGTGACAATAGAGTATCCTGGTTAAGTGAAACCTTACCACCCCCCCCACCTTTTAACCTGGGACCCATCTCTTCTTGACTACTTAAGGATTTAACACCTGCATCATCAAATTTTCCCTTCTACTAGATTATTCTCTTCTGTATACAAATAGCCTAAAATTGTGTTTCATTAAAAAAAAAACCCCTCCCTCCATAGCACAACCCTGTTTTGCTACATTTCTCTGCTTCCAGTTACTGAAAGTTCTACAAAAGAGTTGTCTATGCTCTGTCTCCATTCCCTCCTTTCCCATTACTCTTGAACTCACTCCACCCATTCCATCAGTGCTCAGTGATGGCCACCCCGGTGCCAAATCCAGTGGCCAGTTCTCAGTCTATATTTTATTTAACCTCTCAGTGCATTTAACAAAGTTCTCCTTAAACCCTGTTTTCAATACTCTCTTGCTTTTCCTCTCACTTCACTGCTTACTTCTCAATTTCCTTTGCTAGATTCTCCTCACTTTCCTGACCTCTAAATGTTGAAACTCGGTGTCAAACTTTGCATGTCCTAATTGAACTTTGTTTCCCTCTTCCAGACATGCTTCTCAGGTTAGGAAAAAGAATGATCCTTGATTCCATTCATATCTCACATCTAATCTATCAGCAGATCTTGACAGCTCTAACTACAAAACATGTCAAAATTCTGAACTCTGAAATGTTTACCTTTACCATTCTTACCTTTGTCCAGTCAACCATCATCATGTGGATTGTTGCAATAAATAGTTTCCTAACTGGAACCCCCACTGTCCTCTTTGCCTTTTCATGATTTATTTTCAACAGAGCACTCAGAGTAATGCTTTCAAGACTTATGTCATATCACATCACTCTTCTATTCCAAATCTCCAGTGGCTTCTCATCTTGCTGGGAGTAAAAGCTAAAGACCTTAACATAATTTACAAAGGCCCTGCCTAATCTGGTCTGTGTTGCCTCTCTGCATCATCACCACTTTCCCCCTTGTTCACTTTGCTCCAGGTGTGCTGACTTCTTTACTCTCTGTGAATATGCCAAGTTCACTTCCACATTGAGGCATTTGCTCTTGCTGTTTCTCATGCCTATAAAATTTCCCCAGTTTTCCTAAATGCTGTCACTTTATTTCATTCAGGTTTCTACTTAAAGTTCGGCTCACAAGGAAGCCTTTCCCTGACCATTCTACCTGAAGCAGTAACTTCTCCTACTCCCCAGCCAATGCACCGTTGGCCACCCACTGTCCCTATCCTGCTTTAATTTTTCTTCTTAGAATTTTCACCACCATTATGTATTTGTGTATGGTCTATCTCTGCTCTCTAGAATGAAAGCACCATGAGAGTAGGGACTTTTTTTTTTTTTTTTTTTTTTTTGCGGTACGCGGGCCTCTCACTGTTGTGGCCTCTCCTATTGCGGAGCACAGGCTCCAGACGTGCACGCTCAGCAGCCATGGCTCACGGGCCTAGCCGCTCCGTGGCATGTGGGATCCTCCCGGACCGGGGCACGAGCGCATGTCCCCTGCATCGGCAGGCGGACTCTCAACCACTGTGCCACCAGGGAAGCCCAAGAGAGTAGGGACTTTTAATCATAACGAAGTAATAGCACTCAGCAGGTGCTCCATAAGCATTTGTTAATTGAATGAATAAATCAATGCTTGTATATGTATGTAGTGGATTGTTGTGTATGGCTTGATGGGAAAATAATAATCCTAACTTTCTATTTTAAACTTAGACAGGTGGCCCTGATTTATCATAAAGAAATGCATGTACTGGAAACAAACACCACATTGCCTTTATTGCTTATCTCAAGATCTCAATTTTGCAGATGTAATTTGCTTAGGCTTTGTTGCATTTGAGCTGGCAAGAATTTGAGTTCTGCCCATCTGCCAGCATTGTGTACCATCAAGGTGCTTAAGTTTTCTTCATATGTTCATTGAGTGAAGAAAGAACAGCTTGATGTAGTTAGAGTGCATGATTTCTAATGTCTTCTAGTTAAAAATAATTTCTCTTGGGCTTCCCTGGTGGCGCAGTGGTTGAGAGTCCGCCTGCCGATGCAGGGGACACGGGTTCGTGCCCCAATCTGGGAGGATCCCACATGCCGCGGAGCGGCTGGGCCCGTGAGCCATGGCCAATGAGCCTGCATGACCGGAGCCTGTGCTCCGCAGTGGGAAAGGCCACAACAGTGAGAGGCCTGCGTACCGCCAAATATAATAATAATAATTTCTCTTTAAGATGGACCTTTAAAAATCTAATGCTCCAGTGCTCCATTAGATGATTTCTAAGTAGTATGATGTTCCAAACATTTTAATCATAAGCTCAGAGCCACTTAAAAACATTAGCTGATTCTACTGATTTGTAATTTACTTCATAATTATAATTTTATTTACAGTCACTTGAATCCAGCTTATTTTGACAAGTGTCTTTTTAGGGGAAATCCAGATAGAGATTTTACTAACACTATGGTAAAGATTGTCTGTCTTTAAAAGCATTCTTTATAGATTAGTTACATTCCAAGAATTTTAATTATCATATAAAATTGTGCTTCTCTATAATAAAAACAGAAACCGAAAGATTCCAAAATCAAGATTTCACTTGTGAGCAAATAGAACTTTAGTTCTTAAACCTATATTCTTTAGTAAAGATGCTTATTTTTGTTAAGCATCTACTGTCATGGCATTTACATTTTTTACTTGTTAAAACCACTGTGATGTCCATAATTAAGTTCATTAAGCTGTTTCCATTTAACTCTTATAAAGGTGACGCTTTTTTTTGGTTTTTTTTAACATCTTTACTGGAGTATAATTGCTTTACAATGGTGTGTTAGTTTCTGCTTTTTAACAAAGTGAATCAGTTATACATATACATATGTTCCCATATCTCTTCCCTCTTGCGTCTCCCTCCCTCCCACCCTCCCTATCCCACCCCTCTAGGTGGTCACAAACCACCGAGCTGTGACGCTTTTCACTGAACTGAAAAGAGTAGAACTCTATGACACTAGGGACACATACTGTTTTCAAAAGCTAATTAAAGCTAGATGAGGCCTGGAAACCTGGAATGAATCTCACTCCAGAGACTGTAGCTTTATGCTGAAACAGTTCTTTAAAATAGGGCAAGTGATTCTCTCTCTGCCTACCCCAACTTGAGTATCCTTCCTGGAGAAACCAGGGATGTTGCTGGATGGTTGAAATCTTTGTCATACATAGTAGCTTCTGTCAGAGAAAACCACTCTAAGCTCCTGTGTTTCTTTTGGTTCTGATTAAGTTTAGTAACTTACTGGAAAATTAATAGTTCAGGATAGAGTAGAGATAGACAGATGGTACTTTGCATAAGCCAGATCAATTATGTTGTTAGATGTCACTTTGTAGAGATTTTTAGACAGTAGGAACTAAGGACTTTGGTTTAAGATTCTTAAATAAGCCTCTCTTTACATTGCCTGTTTTTAGAGGTTCAGAGAAATGAGCACTTTTCATAGTTTAACTATTTCTCTTTTTTTTTTCCATTCCCTTTCCATATCCCTTTTTTATTTCACCCAACACCAAAAATGCCCTTTCAGAAACATAAAGTAGATCTTTTCTACAAGCTACGCCATGTGATGAATGAACTTATTGACCTTCGAAGGCAGCTCCTGTCTGGTCACCTGACTCAGGATCAGGTGCGGGAGGTTAAGCGGCACATCACCGTGCGCCTGGACTGGGGCAATGAGTAAGTATGAATGTCATTTGGGCATCTCTCAGTTTCATTTATGATAACTTAGTCCTCATAGAGTTGTACCTGATCAAAGCTTATCTTTAGGGATTAAAGACGTTGTATTCTCCACTAAGCTTTGATCATTTTTACAATGAGTAGCCGTTTCTTTCAGTTTATAGCAAAGGACGTTCACTGGTTCTACTCATTGAAACTCTCTCAGCCTCTATTTTCACTTCCAGAAAATTAAATAATTGGACTACATTAGCCTCTGGGGTTTCTTCCATCTCAAATTCCTTGATTCTAAACCTCAGTAATCAGAATACTCTTTTTTTTTTTTTTTTTTTTTTTTTTTTTTTT